GAGCAAATAGAGTGTTGCTACGGCGCCTCCTTTGCACAAGAGCGCGTGCAAATAAGACGCAAGACGAAGCCACGTGGCCACATATATTCCTTGCAACAGTGCTATACTCTGTTTCATACTTAGCGTGCAACACTGTCAAAGCTACTGGCGCGAGCGCGTGGCTTCATCTATGGTTTTGTTTGCGCGAGAACACGTGCAAATGATCAACGAGGTCAAGCCCCATGCTCGCGCCAGTAGCTTTGAGAGCGTTGCACACTAAGTATGAAACAGAGTATAGCAGGGCGGGACTGCAGCGTCTCCTTTGTGCTACGTTGTCAAAGCTAGCTTAGCTTCCACAGTGCTCCAACTCCATCACAGATAGTTGCGCGAACGCATGCGAATGAAATGTAATAGACAAAGCCACGTGCTCTCGCAGCAGTGCGGGGCTGCTGCACTTTGAAGCTACGCTATAGTTTTGACAATATACCACAAGAACAGATAACATAGAACCAAAGTTTATGCCACAAGTGTATGAGGCTAGTTCAGCCTGTCCAGTGACCTCAGCTCATCCGAATTATTTTGTTTACACGAGAAATCGCGCACAAAAGACACTTTTCAAAACCACACTCGCACACGCGCTGATTTGTCAGCACTGGAGATGTTATCTACAAATTCACAACCCAGCAAACACGTGTTTTTTGCCTTGGTAAGCATGGACACGAACAGAGAGAATGGCACCACCTCAGCACGTGCATGTTCGCCGCGTTGGAAAGTGCAAAGCACCTGCCATGGATGATGGGCGCGAACGCTAAAATGGGGATGGCGCGTCCCTTGATCGCATACCGGGGCAACGAATAGCTGCGCGTTGGGTGATACAGCGTGACAGCCCGATTCCGATTTAGGCAAGGACAGGTCCCAGCGGTACTATGAACATAGTATCTACAATAATATATACATTATAAATATTGAAATATTCTAAACAAATATATTACATGTGCATGCCAAACGGTGTGCGAACTGCAAGGAAAGGAAATGTTCACGGTGTATACAACATAATAAAAAATGAGTGATCTGTTATCTAAATCTAAAGTTGTCAAAACTCAAAAAAGTTTGGGGCCAGAGGATTATGGTCACTACTCTACTCCGTCTCACAAATGTCTGCAGTAAAGACGGCACACGCGTGTGACCATAGCTCAGCAGAATCTCGTGCGTCAAAGACACTTCAAAACCACGCGCTCGTGATCGCAAAGATCAGCACTGCAGATCTTTTTGGGATGGAGTACAGGCTGTGTAGTCTGTAAATACATCTGACCGCCGCCGTCATGTATACCTATGTACATTACGTATTTTACTACAACACTGTAATGTACCAATTCTTTCATGATGAAGCACGTGCCAAATTACTCCAGCATCAAGTAGCATGGCAACGTAAGGGTACACACGCTGAACGCACTCGCCTTATCAGTATAGGCAGTATAGGGTATTCACTGGACGCCATATTTGTGGGTGCTGTCTAGAGCGCATGCTCAGAAAGAGCTCACATTAATAGGCTGATAAGATCGGCAATCTTGATGGTGCGGAGTGCACGTATTAAAATAACTGTGGAAGCTCGCCGTCAGCACGCGCTCAGCAGTCGCGCACATAGCTATGGCCGCCAGTGATTACTCCCCATAACACGTTCCAGGTAGTAAATAATCATAATAAAACGTTGATGAGTTCTTGTCCAAAGTGCCATTTGTATTAGGTTTCTGCTTTAGCTGAAGTGTGTGTGATTCGTGACGGCCTTGCATATCTTCACCTAATCTCAAGTGCTTTACCAAAATGAAAAAAAAAAAAAAAAAAAAAACGCAAGACAGGGTAAGGGGTAGAATGGGAGGAGAGGGAGTGGAATTCGGGGCGCCTTGGCACGGCCCAAAAGTGGTGTATGGCCGTGTGAAACCCATATAAATGCATTCCATCAAAGTATAGCAAACAACAAATATTGTTTTCATTGGAGACTCCTGTTTTTCCCCGAATAACTATTTAGACAATTTTCCTGTTTTGAAAAATGAGTCACGCAAGCGTATTTTAAATTTTTGTTACAGACGAAAGCTTATGAAATACTGCAAAATCGATTATATTTACCGGAGAGGTGCACCTTTAGCCCATGGCCCCGCGTATAAGCCGCAAAAAATTGCTGGCACTGTGTTGTGATATTGTATAATATATATATATATATACGTATATCTATATACGTGTGCTGCATTGTATAGTAGAATTTGTGCCAACTTCCTCAGATGACAAAAGCAAATATTTCTTAATTGACTGAAATTTATGTCATCTTCACGTTTCTAGAAAGCGTGGAAGGGTTGTAAGTTCTCTTTAGACGCGTTGGTTTTCGGTGAAAATGAGTGCATGCTGTTGACATAGAGCATAGCATACGCTACGAGTGATCCCAGTCAATCCAGCTGCGGCCCATCGTAAGGTCAAACGGAGTAGACTAATTTTGGGACGACGGACATGTCGCTTTGTTCAGCTAGCCGGCGATTGGACAAGAGTCAGAAATGGGCATATATATATATAAAGTCGATGCAGCCGTTAGCCACTCCGGTCTCAATAAGTTAAGGGCGCGCGGAGGGTAACAACAACATACCCTACAACTACAACAAAAAAAATTATATACAAGGAAAGATTACCTAAATAATTGCTGAATTTGGGCCTATCTTAAAAACACGGACGAGAAATATTTTCTAACTGGTTAGTTTAAAACGTTTGTTCTATATGAATCTATATTTCAGCTCGAAAAATATACGAGGGCCCTTTTTCGACACCCGAAGTATACTTAACAATTACCGCGATATCGGATGATTGATGCACTGAAAATAAAATCTGACATGAAATTTAAGTTTTTTGTGCACTTTTTTCAGCGTTTGGATTCTGCAAGAATGATAAAGTTAGAAACAAAAGCGTCTTATGCATTATCCACACCAGCGATTACGTCGAGTCTGCATTATTTAAAACGAAGAAAAACGTTCCATGGTTCCCTTGGGCGTACTTTCCCCGTCGCGCCGGAGTGAAGCCCCACTACGCGGTGCACGGCCGCTGTATGGGAGCTTTCTGATTTTCCTAATTACTAAACTCACCAACTTATGCAAGAAACATTAAAAAAAAAAAAAAAAAGAATTGCAGTTACACGCACTTTTTTTTTTTTTTTTTTTTTTACTTAACAGTGGGATTGGGACAACAGCGGAGGAGCCCCTCTCCCTGCTACTTTCCCGCAGTGCTTGCCTGCTAAGGGAGAAGGTCCCTTGTAATTATGCAGGCACGTAGGGTTGGCAATCGGGTGAGCTGAACACGAAAAAACGGGACACGAAGGAAATGACTGGACAAATGGACCGCTGTTTGTCCAGTTCTTTCCTTCGTGTCCCGTTTTTCCGTGTTCAGATGACCCGATTGCCAACAGTATGTACCAACTAAAACCCATAGCACGAAGGGTGTCCGGTTTTATTTTCCTCCCAGACTTAGGTCAGTGTTAATTTCATTGAGGGCGACAAGTGTGTAAAATCAGCGAAATATAATTACCTAATTAAGCAACGAAGTAGGAAACGGTGCAAAACTGCATAACTAAATTTGGAAAATGTTTTGATCGCTTTAGCCTTTGCACACTATCAAAGAGGCAGCATTGTGAGAACTTGTATCTTGCCTAGTACTTGCCAATAGAGAAATAAAGGCTGAATTAACACTGGTGGAAAGCCATACTTAAAAAAAAAAAGGAAAAGTGCAATATTTGTATCCAATTTTTTTAAAACTCGATCTTGAGTTGGCCATTTCACACCTTTTCTATTTTCATCCTTGTTTTCCTTTTAAGTACCTAATAGCCTACGCATGTGCTGTGAAGCCTAAGCTATATGTATTTTGATTTTTTTAAACATACATCTGCTAAAAAAAGAAGCTGCAGGTACTCTAACCAACTGTGTTTATATAGCCCAACGTTTTGTGGCCTGCTTGTTCACGGGCAACATATTTGGCTGGGAGTTTGTATTTCTACCCTCCTTGTCGCTGCCATTTAAATCATTCTCCTCGTTTTGTTGCACCCTAAAGCCCGTGGATATAACTGCTTGGGATGGTACCGATCGACCTGTTCTGGTTGTTCTTTGTATGCTGAATAAGCTACAACTATAAAAAGTTGTCTTTTCAGTTCATCTCGAACCTGGAAAAAATTACTCTCGAGTCATGGCATATTCAGCATACAAAGAACCCGAACCTTCTCAAGCAGTTATATTCACGGGCTTCTAAGTGTCACAAAAAGGAGAGATTTAAAGGCAGCGACAAGGAGAAGAGAAAGACAAACTCCCAGCCAAATAAGTCACCCGTGAACAAGTAGGCCGAGAAATGTTGGCCTATTTGGACACAGCTGGTTAGTGTACCTGCAGCTTTTTATTAATACTCACCTAGCCAGGCACAATTTTGCCAAAATGTTTACTTTTCAAACATACATCTGTTGAACATAACTATCGTTATTATACTGGAACATGAAAACCTTAGTCCTCCCAGTCCCATGCGACGAATAACTGAAGAATGTCGCCCTACAACATACTCACTTTGCGCGGGACGTAGCAGCCACTGTGCCAATTCCATGCGCAGAACAAAAGCCGCCGGGCAAAATTAGATTTTTCACGGCATATTTGTCCCATGGAGTTCAGCCTCTATGGGTCATATGCATATGCAAGTACAAAAGTTTCCTTGTAAAGAAAAATAGGCTATCCCCCTTCGACTTCAAACTGACCTCCTAAGTTCTCAGGTACACAAGGGACTAGGAGGAGGTTCACAAAGCAATACATGTAGTTTACAGGCGTGAGCCGTCACAATTTTCCAGGCCAGCGGCAGCTGCCAGACTGTCAAATTTTACTTTGGGAACAGTACATACTTTATGGCATGAAGGATCATAGATGGATGGATGGGTGGGTCTTTCAAAGTAAATAATTCTCATTGCCTACAAAAACAAAAATACTGTCACAACTTCAACAGGTTATTTACACAAACACACTGCACCATTCCAACTTTTATTCAAGTGGTGACTAGCAGGCAGGACCAATGCCTTTGGTTCCGAGATGACGATGAACTGGGTGACAGAAACTTTGTGCTACAAGTCACAGCTGAAGCAGCTTATTCAGAGTGGTGCCCAGGACGCCAATGGTGGGGTTCAAGCTGGGCTGCAAGAGAAAAAAATTGTCACAGTACAAGCACCGTAACCATCAATTTTAGACCACATGGAACAGACATACACCACTTCAATGCACTAAGGAGTGTGTTACTACTTTTAAAAACAAGAACTCTTGGATAATGATCCCCTAAACAAAGCGAATTTACAAGTTAGTTTGAACATTCAACAAGTAATCAAAATTGTTGAGAGTAAAAACATATTCGAATATAGGTCATCCCTAATTTTGAAGTGGAAGGAAAGGAAATTCATACAAATATTTAACTCGTCGCATCATTTGTAACCCAGGTTTAAACTCATGTGTTGATCATGCTGGCAACGTCATCTTATGAACATTAAGAATAGCAACTGCATGCTTTCGTACCGAGCGAAAGCATTAGGTATTGAACAAAATAGCACACTAGTTCACATAAAAATAGTGCTCAAAGCATTTTTGATCATAATCACAAACCACTGTTGTAGATTTTTTTGTATTAGAAATGTTACTGAAAACCTGTTCATTTTTGTTATAAATATTCACTCTACTATAAAAAGGTAAACTGGCACTGCAATTGACCCTTTAGCAGTGGTATGCCAGAGTAGTTTATAACATTACTAGTCAGGAAACAGTGCTTTGCGATAATACATTTTGCTTCACATATACTATCTTGCAGATATTAGACACAAAGGCGCACAAGCTGAAGTTGACACAAAAATAACATAAAACTACCTCATGTAAAAAAAACAAAAAAACATGGATTATTGACGTCTTTCACGATTGCAGCCAGTGCATTGATAGTAGGGGACAGATAGATGTATTTTTGGATTTCGCCAAGCATTTGATTGATTGTCCTGTCATCTAGCTGTTATGTAAAATTGCAGGTATCATTAAAGGGGCCCTGCAATCATATTTAAGCATCTACCTTTTTTGCGGTTTCCACATCTCTTGGTGTTCGGGCAAGTCAGCGGGCACGGAGAGAATGACTAAATATCAATGCGTCATATTTTAACCGGACGACGTGGACACCTTTGCTACCTACAAAGGCGACCCGCGGTGTTGAAAGTGTTGTGTTTGGTCCTGGCCTTAATACTGGTCAGAGCCGCTAAAAGCTTCTTTTTAAAAGCGCACGCTCATAGTGTTGGCAGCCACTCTTAACTAAGTCACGAGAGCTTGTGCCGCCGAGATGTGCTTCAGAGCAAAGAGCTCGTGCTTGTAGCCTTTCCTGCGGTACATCATAAGGTGAAACAGAGTATAGCGGTGAGCGTAGAAAGGTCTCGAATGTACCCGGCGCCGCTGCGGTCGAGGATCCGACCGGTTCCGAAGGCCTTCGGAGCAGGTTTGGAAGTGTGGCAGCGTGAGGTGGCTGCTGTACTGAACTGATCTTTATCCCGTGTTTGCTGTCGTTCGTGGCCAATGAAGTGTCATACCAAATTAGTGTTTAATCTCGCAGCAAATGCAATGCGAGCCGCCCTGGCTGCCCGCTTCATACAGCCTATCCAGAACATGCTTTAGTGGTGTCCTCTTGAGCCGTTGACGCGGAGTGCAGCAGCGGTGAGCGCTCGCTGAGCTCGCTACCCCTCCTCTAGTTGAGTCGTCCACCATGTGTGCACCATGTGTGTGGATGAGTCGTCTGCCTAGGGCAGACGACTCATCCACACACATGGTTATTTATACTTTAGCCGCACGCTGGTAAGACAATTCAATCTTTACTGACGCACCGAACGGTACCGCACCACTTTCCGCTAAAACTGTTTTCCCACCGATACTGTGCAACAAAATAAATGCAAGAATTTACACCGTTTCGCACGCGAACGTGGAGAGCCTATGGAACAGCAATGCTTCCATCCCCGCTTTGATAATGATGATAGCACGACAGCAGCGCCACCTCTAGGTCGATCCCGAGGCCAATAGCTTACTACTGCATGTGAGCAGGCTCACGGGAGATCCTTGCTGCACAGGCTTCGAGCTGGATGTGCGTATACTTCCAAACGCCTTCACATGTACGATCGCAAGTCAGACCCATACTGTCCATCTTGCAGTGACCCTGAAGACACAGCGCACGCTCTTCTATGCCCAAGCCACGACCAGCATCGGAAGCTTCTGATTCAGCGGTATGCGACGGCCGGCCTCTCCCACTCCAATCTTGAAGACCTTCTAAATCCAAACGGGACTCAAGGAGTAGCCGAGAAGGCCTTTCGAGCTCTCCTGGCTTATCTGCGCGAAAGTGGACTTGCAAGCCGGCTCTAGCGTATTTACGCACTAATCAATTGTGCCGGATCTGCTTTCTCCACAAAGTACGGATGCCCGTTTAAATGGGGCTATTCAGAGTCACGCTACTCGTCTGTCAGCTAACGATTCAACGCCCCGTTCAAATGCCTCAATCATTCTTTCTTTTCTTTTTCTCTCCCTCTTTCCTCTCTATTCCTCCCATTCCCCAAAAGCTAGGTAGCGACTTGCCCCTGTACGGAGGCCCACATTTCTCCTAGCTTCCCCCCCCCTTCCCGACACCCCACAATAAACAAACAAACAAGCTCACGGGAGAAAGCTATAAATGCACTTTAACGGAAAAATAAAACATTAAACATCTTTGCACGTTGCCGGTTTCCTAAAGACAATACTTTGCATGCTGCGAGGGAGCATGCTGTTCGGCGGGGGGATGGTTGGTTGCGCAAGAATACTGACGTCCCTTGTTCGGCGCACTTCGAAGATGACTGCTTTGACACAAGCGGTCAAGCGAGAAGACTTCGACCGGGTAGCATTCCAGCTATGTTTGTTTCCTCTCGTTTCCGTAAAGCCGACCCGCATGTAAACGATTTAGCGTGCGACGAGACGAGTGACGGAAATTTCTCACGGTTGCCCGTTGCATCGCTCGGTTTTCGGGATTTCTAGAAAACATCGCTCACCGTCTTGGTCGCTTCGCCGTCGCTTCCATGCGGTTTGTCTCGTCGTGCGACTGACCGAGCGACAGCGAAGCGGGTCGCTGTTGCTCGCCAAAGCGCTTACATGTGGTTTATACTCAATTAATTTACGAGCACACAACGTTGAACCATTGGTGCCTCGATTTTAAGTATAAACTGCATGCAAGCGATTTGGCAAGCAATGAGACAAGCGACGGTGACCCGCTTCGCTGTCGCTGGGTCAGTCGTGTGACGAGACGAACCGCACGGAAACGACGAAGCAAGCGACCACGACGGTGAGCGACGTTTTCTAGAAACCCAAAAACCAAGTAACACGACAAGCGACAGTAAGAAATCTCCGTCGCTCGCCGCTGACTCTTGTCGTTGTCGCCACCGCTCGTCTCGTCGCAAGCTAAATCGCTTACATGCTGGTCATCTTTACAGAAACAAGTGTGCACATGCAGCGGGAAGCACGACTGGATAGCCTTACTGCTTCAGTTGAAGTTTGCATATGTTGCAATGGTGTAGACTGCCCTTTATTAGCGAGAAAAACGCCACAACGGGATGAACTTATATGGTCTCTGAAATCATAATCTTTTATCGTCAATCCATTCGCTGTCCGATTCCATTTCATAAATACGAAAATACAAGAGCTGTGTTGAAATATAGATATCAAACGATTAAACAAAAGCCCGAAATATCGAAAAGACACACAATTTCAATGTTGAAAAGACACACAATTTCAACACGGAACGTGAAAGAACACGAAAACAAAGCTCCGGTAGTGGCCTGTGCAGCACACAACGCGGGGGAACGGTGAGAGACTGAAGGTCGGCTATGGCGGCAGGGTCACGTGACGTCAATATGCCGGCGCCCATGAAATGTTGCCTGAAAGGGTCTATACCTATGCTTTTCTTGTCTTATGAAGCATCATTGTAACAATTGTGCAACTTTCTGAAGTGCTTTTCTAAAGTGCCGTTAATGTTATTGAACCACGACTAGTTAGCTCCACATACTGTGAACAACTTTATTTTTGCGGCCTCAATATTTCGCAAATTTGGAGAATATTTCATGCGCAGAAAATTTTGCGAGGAGTGGTGAGCTATATATTCTTTACCATATATTGGTGGGATGCGTTTTTTGCAGAAATTTTTAAGTCAAGAAATTTGCGAACAATTAAGTTGTTTACAGTAGTCGGGTACGCTTATTTGCCTCCCAAGTCTTTGTAGGGCCTGACAAGTCAATCCCCTTCACCGTGCTATGGTGTACTAGAATCTAGTACATTATAACCGTGCGAATTCACACCGCACTTCCATCAAGATTCAATTTCTCGGAAGAAAACCGAAAAAAAACTCGTCCCCTGCCCCGGCTGGTGCCGATGCCGTCATCTGAACGCAACACAGGGCTTTGGCATTGCCACTGGGAATCGCACAGTGCCCTTGCTTCAAGCAAAATGGCAGCTTTGTTCCCACCTAGCCTAGCAACACATGCATTTTGTACTCTCGAACCGGAAAACAGGAAAAGGGTCCATTCTCTACAGTGCTTACTGGTAGCACCCACATTTGCAAAATCGTCCACTGACAGTGAGAGTACTTCTTCTATTTCAACAACTATAGCATCAATGTGTTTTTTTTGCAACAGGTCTACATTCTGTTTCACATCACGTCCCACCGCAGCGGATGCTCCAAGCCGCCTCAGCCAACCCAGCTCTGCGAACGTAGCACTTGATATGCTCTACGCATGTCACCCTCTTCAAGGTCAAGTAAAGGCCTGGTCACACATACAGCGGAGCGTTATGTGAGTGCTCCAAAGAGCGCTCATGAGGTGCTTCCTTGCGCGTGACTTAGTTCTAATATAGCGCGCAATCAGCACTTTAGTAGCGCTCCTTGTACGACCGTTATTGCTGCAGATTAACATGTGTACTGATGTTAGGTTCCTGTGGTTGGGTGTGCAATAGTACCATGACGGACATGTGGGATGCTGAAATAGAAAGGCGACAAATGCCCTTACATACGCAATTAGTGCATATGTGTGTATGTGACTTAACGCCCAGAAGAGCCTTCTGAGTGCACGAAATCTTTCGCCACCGAGATATCAACGGGTATCCGGTGAACCTCGTTCCCAGGCCGAGGGACCGGGACACAGAGCTCTTTAGAAGGTGATTATTTTTTAACTGCGTGTCTCTGAAACCAGGATCACGCATGTTGAATAGAAAGTGATAAGGTCGTACCCAATCAATTAGTTGCTCAGAGTCCATGACTCTGAATCGTTTGCCCGACCCTTTGCTTGGAAAGCGGCTCTTTTACTTCCTCTTCTTTCAATGCCAAAGGAAAAATAACAACGGAATCGCCGTGCATGCGTTGCTTCGCAGCAACAAGCACGGCACAAGGAGCGCGCTTGCACTGCGCTGCTAAAGCAACAACCGAGCGCTACTTCTAGCGCTCATGAAGCGCTACCTGAGCGCTCCGCTGTATGTGTGGATCAGCCTTAACACTCACAGGGCCTTGGATTGGCTCCGATGGCTCGTAGCTGGTGTAAAGCCCCTCTATCCTGGGAAAAGCGGCACCATTCATTGTTGTGGGTAAATGCTCGAGACTTGTGCCGCGCACCACCTTCTGGGAAGAACATGGTAGCTGAAATTTAGCTCAGTGCTGCGCTGTGGTGCCATCATCTTCCCAAGGGCTACACGTAGCACGTACCTCGTGCATCGGCGCACCTTGCGCTACTTTTGAAACATAAAGGGGCTTTAAGGTGGTGCAGTTGGCAACGGTTGCCCCGTGGCCGCTGTTGCAAGAGCAAACTGTGGTTCGAGCACAAAATTGTGAAGGTAGGCTTGTTAGTCATTAGATTAAGGGCTTGGGGAAAGTGATCTATGTGACTTCGCCCATTACCTGGCCCACCCTTCTGTCGGGGCTTTCGTAGGGATGGCACAAAGAGTATGTTAAGCAAAATAGCTGTCAACATAAGAAAGATATAACAACAATATCAGCATGCAGAGCATGTTATGGTCTTAACTGGACAAGAGGCTAAACCTATGAGCATACCACTGCAAATATTTCATGTTGATCTATATAGCACACAAACTGCCTCTGCTTGCCAAACGTTTACCCCTGCATCCTTATTTTCAGAACGAGGCTGGTGTGCTGCAGTAATCAAATGACAGATGAAGAAATAAACTTCAACATATCGACTGACCTCACTGAAGTGAGCGCCGCTATCCTTCAGCATCCCGCTCTACTCCCGGCTGTTCGATGAAACCATGGCCTGCCTTGTGGCTCCTGCAGAAAGTGTTGGTCTCCCGGTCATCCTTGCTCTTTCCCGCAGAACCTCGGCACGTCCACCGCGGGCTGCTTTGCCTCGGGAGGATGACCGTCAATCCAGCAGTCATGACGAACAGACGATTAATCGCCGCAAAAAGAACGAATCGACTGAATCTCGACAGCCACGTCTGGTTTCAATAGGAAAATGCCGAAGGTCTTTCCACAAAAAACCCCAGTTGCCCCAGTCACGGAACCCCCAGATATCAAAGCACGTGGTACACCGAGTTTTGGGCTAAATACACAGGCAATCGGAATCTCGCGAAAGAAATACATACGTAAAAAAATCAACAAGACACCAAGAAGGGAAAATCAACGCTCAGAAACGGGGAATCACGACAAATGGAGGTGGACTTGCGAAGGTTGCAGGAACACCAGGAGCCGAAAAGGTAAACAACGGTCAAAACGCGGGAAACGAAGCGATTCTCCCGCTTCTCATCAAATGTAACACGTGACATTGCATATAATAATTATCTCAGAATGCATTTAATATATCTAATATAATTTCATTTCTACTAATTTAAAATTTATATAAATAAACTTAACAAAATAATTCACTCAATTTATATATACACGTGACTTTTTCTTAATAGCCAATCAGAATTCTGGGTCTACCTAACGCTGGGCGTTGCGTAGACCGGGTCGACGCAGACACTGCCTTTTTTATTTGCAACGGCTCCGACGGCTCCACCGAAGCGTTCGTTGTTCGTTGGGATACACTGTAGTTGAGTGGTAGAATACTTGGAGCAGAATCCGAGGATAAGGAAGTCAAAACTTCGCCGTATACCTTGAAAGAAGGAGAGAAAGAGGAACGGGAATGTGATCGTAGATTTGGCAAATAAAACTTGGCGTACTTTTCCGGCGCGGATTAGTTTCGTTTCTCTTACTAGCGGCGCTAATATCAAAATTTCTCCTAGACAGTGTGCTTCGTAAATTTCTACTGCTGATCTTATACAATAATAATAACAATAATAAACCCACAAAAGACCAAATCGATGGTCCTTCTACCTTTCTATCCTTATTGTTTACTCTAAACAATCACGGTGTCTCTTTTGTTTTAATTTTTGTTCTCATTGATCAAACAATATAATTCCATTGTACGCCTTAGAAATCAGTTACATTTTATTTTTCACTTCGCTTTCTGCCTGAACCCTACGCTTAGAATTTATGGAGTCTCAGAAGCTCCTGGACCAGTGACTTATACAAACCCCCTCAACACTCCCCCCCCCCCGCCCCCCCCCCCCCCCCCCCCCCCACACACACACACCCCAATTTTCTGGTAATTTGTTAAAAACATCGGGAACATACACACAGCGTCTGGCCGCACCGTATCGCGTTGAACACCAAGGCACAGTAAAGCATAGGCATTTTCAAAACAATCTTGAAGAAACATGTTCGATTTTAAATTCAGGATTCCAAAAATGACGTGTCACTGTCACCACCGTCTTCTCGGATAAAGAACGGAAAGAAGGAAGGCCAACGCCATGAAAAATATGTGATCCATTTAAAAGGGAAGAATTGTACGCGATACTCTTTAATATGTTTTTCGGTAGTCCGAATAATAACAATAATAATAATTTTTTTCCCACGTATCTTCAATATCACTGTACACAAACGGGTTTGTCCTAGCCAAGGGAGGCTTGCGGGACAGGACCCGGCAAGTCAAACAAAAGTTATCAAAAATAAGAAAGAAAAAAAATACTTTCAGCCTTTCCACTCTGGTGAAGAAGGAAGACCAGCGAAGCTGTACAATGGTGGTAATGAAGTCGGCAAGCCAGAGTGGAAAGGATGCAAAGGTTGCCGCCCTCTATGAGTGACGGCGACAACGGGACAACCAGCAAGCCGGTTGTCTGGTTGCCGCCGTCGCTCATAGATGGCGGTAGCTTTCCAGAGTGTTGTGTCGACATTTGTTTCCTGGTGGACACGATCCTGGGGAAACTAGCCCATAACCACTCCGCTGTAAAACACTTCATAAATCGAAACAGCGAACAAGAAATGCTAAACTCTTAAAGTCATCAACTTTTTTTTTTTCAAATTTATTTTTTGTATTACACTCAAAAACACAAGCGGGCAATTTATTGAAGACATGGCACCGTAATAAGAGCAACCTCTTTTACCGCAGCGAGTTACACAACGGGGAATGACAAAACGGGACGTGTGACGGAGATTCCAGTTGGGAACGAAGGGGCGTTTAAAATTGTTATTCCAAAAGTGGCGCAACACGACTGCTTCCACGAACAGGGAGAGAAATCGGGCATTCGGAAAGACTGTAACGTATTCATATCAGTTGACAAGTCGAAGTGATACACCATACTCCTTAACGAGCCTTTAAACACAATTAATAATATCAATAATTATATAATAATAATAATAATAATAATAATAATAATAGGGAGTTTTAGAATAGCGCACGTTAAAGCTTTGCGTACGCAAAGAATAGCGTCGTTGCCACTGCGCATGCGCCGAACGCTAACCAGGTCTTGCGCTTTGCGTCGCACGCTATTTCTCGGAAATTGCGTGCGTACGCAAAGAGTCTTTGCGCCGCTTTGCGCTCTTCCAGGGAGGATTCGTGATGAGAAGTTGGCTAAACCCAAAACAAGCACAGTTAAAAGAAAAAAAAAAAAAAAATGGCGGTGCTTAGGACTATGAAGGCTCCTTACTTAGTACCATTTTGCGGCCACTTTGGCGGCGTCGTACGTTCGACGTCGGCGGCAAACTCGCGACTGCGATTTTAAATACGGGACGACATTGCACTCGGTTTGGCGACGATCACCGGCAACTTGATGCTTGCGACGCGCGACCATTTCTCGGCGAAGGAAGCGAAGGTATTAGCCCCGAGAGCGAACACAAGCGTCGCTGCGGTCGCCGCGCCCTGATTGGGTGAGGTGTACCGTGACGTCAGGGCGAGTACCCCGCTCCGCGATCTCGCATCGGGTCGCTTCCCAGCGCCGGTTTCCTGGTTTGGCGTTGTGTGCCGCAAGCTCTTCGAGGAGTCGGACTTCGTTTACCCGGTGTACAAGACGTTGAGTTAGGCCGATATTAACGTGCTTCCGTACATCTTATAAGCCTGCTTGTCCCTTTTACCTTTAAAATTGGGTTACAAATCCCGAAAACTATCGGCGGAGGCAATTACGCCGATGAACCTCCCCGTCCGTCCACACGACGCAAGGCAATCTTGAGAGGGGTCGGTGAAGCGGTGACGCAAGTGTTTCAGACGCTGGAATTCTGTTCCTTGCATGTTCATGATTTAGGACGATATTACATCCCGCTTTCAAGGCATCTGAAGCGGCCTTTATATCATGAGCCTTTCGGTGGTCGGCAAATTAGCTCGCGACCCCGACTCTGCGCTTCCACTCTGCATGCGCTGGTTTGCAGATGTTTTAAAGGCCCTGCGTCTGATGATCTTTGAAGTGCTCATGAAACAGGGTTGTTTTACATAAATGTAGCTTCTTCCTGAATTAATTATATAGTTTATACGCTTATGCAGGCATATTTCTTAGAGGATTCACAATTACTGGAAATTAGTTTGTATGGTAGCAGCAAAAACGGCCGAATTTCCCCCAGTTGGCTCTATGATATGCAGTAAACTGCCCAAAATATGCACAGCAATAGTGCCGTAATTTGGGATGTTTATACTTTTTCCTGACATTCTTTATTCCAGCCTTTGGTATTCGGAAAATGCACCGTTTAGTCTGAATTGTCATTTCCATTTAAGAGTCACTGCCGCAGGTCCCCAAAAGCTTCCTCAGCCTCCAAACTCCCTGCAACTGGACTCTCTGACAACAGAGGAAAACAGGAGTAAAAGCAAGCATTCGAACGTCTGTCCAGTGGTAGATGCAGCACTAGTAGCAGAAAATGTGGAACCTGTGAAGGGCGACAGTCTGCGTGAGAAAAGCTTCTGGTACTTTAGCTTCAGGACAATTGGATTTAAGTAAAATCTAAATTTTAGGGCTTAATGGACTAATAACGAGCTAGACACCCTAACTTATGTTTGTTATATATTACTTGAAAATTGATATAAACAAGTCCACAGATACCATCCGTGTAGTTCATTGAAATACTATCCGAATCCAGCAAAGGTCAAGTGCGAGCAATGTATATAATAAATGTTCCTTGTGTGTTTTTTTACTTTGCCCCTGCACTTGGGCTGTCTTACTTGTGATTCTCTCCCCATGGCCGAGACTGTATTTAGCACGTTGCTCAATCAGCATGCAGCTTTTCTGCTTCGGCGATCTTGTTTAAAGACAGAGATACAAAAAAAAAATAGTATACATAACCTGCCAATTCATTCGGACCATCAGCAGCGTTTATTGTGCGAGATGTAAATCTGTAGTGATGCCCCTGCAATTGTGGCCATATTTCTTTATTTTCACATACCAGCTGTGGTTCATGCGTTGCCTGGCCTGTCAGCCATGCTTAAAATGCTCGTTGAAGTTTCGCCTGTAGCTACAGGCAATACCTCAATAAAGGCGTATATAAAAATTTACACTTCCTACGAAAAGCACGCCAAAAAAAAAATTAAATAGAAACGACCGCGCCGACAGCTAGCGTCGTCACAGCGTCCACAGGGCGAGCGGGACGAGTCGGGGAAAAATTCTCTCCTCGCCGTGACGTCACCGCGGTTCGCCGTAAGGGGGCGCCAGGCGAACTTCTCGGGGCTAATACGGTGTGCGAAAGTCAGTACACGAAACCTCTCTTGCCGAGGAGAAGCAAGCGGACACGACCAATCGACCGCTCACGTCGCATTCTCATGTTTAAACAAATCTGAAATGTTACTCTAAACCAAAAAAAGAAAAAAAAACTTTTTTTTTCTCAAGTTACAGCATTTTGTGTGTGAAATAAAAATTCTGACTGTATCTTGGTAGTGTTGCAAGCGCGAGAAGCTTGCGTTGCGGCGGAGAAACGCTATTCTAAAACTCTTGCGTAGCGTGTGCTAAAATTGCTACGTTTTTCTAAAACTCCCTAATAATTTTATTTCCACAAACATTCGAAACACAATACAAGATGCTGGTCTGCCCAAGCCAAGTGAGGCTTGTAGGGCAAGGCCTGGCAAATCGCGCGGAGCAAGGAAAAAAAAAAGAAAAAGAAGAGGAAAGAAAAGATAACAGAACATCCAATACTATAGTATAAATATCAAAGGAACCGATACGGCGATATTACAGTTATATATTTGTAAAACGTTTTATCTCAACTTTCTCCTCGTGTTTTCATTGAAGATGTCCTCGGGAAGCTTGTTGAAAATAAAAGGCGCATAAAATGAGCGCACTTTTTTCCCCATAGCGCGTAAAACATAGGGGGGTCACAAATCGCGGTAACAATGTGCAACGAAGACTTCTAGAAGGGATGAAAGGGCGTTTAAATTCGTTTGACCAAAAATGGCGGTGTACAGCACTCTGCACAAATAGGAGAGAGAAATATGGAAATCGTAAAAATGT